ACGAAAGTCTGCCTCCGTTTATACTGGAACAAAAACCATTTACCCCTAACTTAAGCCCAAACTCAAATCAAAAGTTAACCTAAGCCCACACACAAACCCTTAACTTAACCCAAACACACACCCATACACCCATACACCCATACACCCATGATGGTTGAGTTGGGGTTGTGGTTGTGGTCGTGGTATTGTTCAGGTTGGCAATAAATTTACGAGTACTGCTTTGGTTTTCAAAAATCTAAATGGTATTTGTTAAGTGATTGTTTTGTACTTGATTGGTTCGAATTTGGCCATGTTTCTACTCTCTAGTCTATGGCTACGTGCTCAGCTACTGATCTTGGAGACTTATCAATTAAAAACAATAAGATTTTTTCAACCAATTTGTTAAAGTAAATAAGCTGCCGTGGGTGGAAAAAAAATTCTCCGATAAACACTAAAAATCACGCACGGTTTAACAAGCAAAAGGAACAATTGACTGAAAGCCCGCTACTGTTGATAGAAAAAATCTACATAATAGGTACAATTTTAATTTATGTACATACCCTCTTGCAAGATATCCAGCACCTCCTTACTCAGAAGGGGATCTTGGTTCTTAACCACCTGTTTCTGTCCTTGTATGGTAAAATTTAGGGGTACATTCTGTTGTGACCCTGCCCAGTCATACACCTCCTTTCATTTAAAGAAAGAAATTTCTTTAAAAAAATGTCTTTAATATGAAGTGTGACTAGGAAAGGTACAAAATAGCCTGCAGTGGAAAGTGGGTTGCCTTTTTAACTAGAATTAGTGGTCTGAAGCTGGCTTTTCTTGTCATGTATTGAGATGAAGAGGATTACAGATATTTGGTTAAACTGTAAATGAATAGACTCAGTTTTATTTCCTCTGATCAAGAAATACTTATCAAAGAAAAGAGGAAATTAATACTTGTAAGTAAGTGACCATGTAGATATATAAAATATCTACACATCTTGAATAAAATTTATTTTCATAAATCCTTAAAAGAGAGAGATAGAAACACTGTGTTTATCATTCCAATAATTGATCTTAAATGATATTCATCTTAACTACTCATACACAAGTTATTGTAAATACCTGGAAAAGGGCAGTTGCCTTGAATTTGCATTTCAGTTGGGTACTGCCACACGGTAGGATTATCGTTATGCCCTCTTTGTCCTCAAGCAGTACCCACTGACCCCCTACCTCTCACCTATGAAGTTAAAAGATAAAAATATTTCTTATGTTTTGTTATGTTGAACTCCCCAGACTTCATTCCAAAAAGAAAGAAGGGGGGAATTAAAACACCAAAGAGGTCTGCCGGCCAGAAAATAACTGCAGCAATTATCCAGTGATTCTGAAAGGTTGCCTTTACGAGTATTACTGGGGGGCTATCTACAGAGTCATTATTTTGATTTCAATATTCTCTATTCGTGAGGATGTACATTTCTACCTAATTTTATTGAAGGATTTTTTTCTTTCTTTTATCCACTGATTGGTCTTGTAGTATGTAGGCAATATAGGAAATTATTGTTTTCAAGACATGTCATAAGAAGTTTTTCCCCTACTCATCACCAAAGACACTAGCACAACATTGTAAATTTGATTAGCAGATTGGGTTAACCCTTTCATTCCCAAGATCTAATTAGTAATTCTCCTTACTATCTGCCATACAATTCTTATGATGTTAGTTCAGAGAATTTGGTATTGGATCAACTAATAATCCCATGATTGATACTTGTCTCTATTCTCATCACCTGCCAGCTTGATAATGTATTGATATTGTAATGAGAAATTCTGTCTTGGTCACTTGTGGGAGTGAAAGGGTCAACACTCCAGGACATACTTCTCTATGTTCATTGGCCTGGCTTTTCTGTCGACATAAACTTATACTTTTATCATTCATTAATATCAAAACATTATGAATTGGCTTTAATGGGGTGTAGCATATTGTAGAGATATGTTTGAGACATATTAGAGATATGTAATATCATACTATTCACCTCCATATCTATCCTAGTGGTTTGATCCTCCTTGTCATTGTGGACTTTCACTCTCTTGCTGACAGAAAAATATTTGTTGAAGTGAAGATTGATGACAATTATTTACTGATATTTCCCTTAATTTGATTGTTTTGTTAAATGGAAATTAAGAATATGGAACAATTTGCCTTAGTTAGGTACACTTTGATACCTGGACCGTAAAAGTGGTACATGTATCATGTTTTTTCTGAAGGTAAGTAAGGTGCTAGAAGCAAATTTGGGCCATTGTTTGATTTAATATGGTTTAGTATGACTCGCATATGAGTCATAGCAAGTGTCTAGTATATGGGATTAATAATCAAGGAAGATTGTTATGCTGATTATCTTACCATTTCTTCTTTACAATCTGAAAGGCCAGCTGGCCCTGCTGAAGAAAATCTTCCAAGTCATCCATGTTTATGTTGTTGAGGGACTAAAAAAATAAAATAGTTATGAACTTTCAAGGAGGAGTGTCTTCCAACATTGCAACTTTTGGCATTGGCAAGGAAGGTAATCTCTCAACTACCCCAAAAGATGTTTGCTTCTTTTCCCTGCCAATATCTTGTATGTTGTTTTCATTCTTCTGTCAAATGCAAATTGCACTTTCATTGTAATTGTATGGTTGAAAGGGTAAGAGCTATAGTGTGTATGTTTAATAAGTGCAGTTTACAGGAAATGGTAAATAATGTATGATAAAGTTTACTCTAAAATATGAAAACCTACCTGAAAAACGTTCCATCAGGACCGGCCTGGTAGAGGTTGGTGCTAGAAAAAAAAAACTCACTTTCATGGCTGTTTAGGCCAAACTTTGATATCACTGAAGAAAGAAAGAAAGAAAGACTTTTACTAAATTCCCAAAGATAAAATAAAACAGAGAATTTTGTCTTTTTTCTTGAATCTCTGTACTGCTTCATTCTCTTCAATGTACACCATCTATTGTATACAAGGAATCAGCATTGGGATAATTGATTTACCTCTTCTGCCACTCCCACTCCCAAGTACGCAATTTGATATGAATTGGAAGATTCTAAATCATCTGTGTACTCTAATTGGTGAAGCATCATGTCATGTTTAGTAACATAACGCTATTATTTGTGGAAATGGATGATTTATTTTTTGGGTATTCCCTGGGTGTTTTGATTGGGTAAGGGCTTAATGAAAACCTTTTGAAAGCCAAATCACTGAAATTTAAGTCTTATTTCTTCTGTTCCCTCTCCCAGTGAAAGGAAAATTGGAGCATTACCTGGGGTTTTGTGTAGTTTCACTCAAATACCTGGTATGCTTAGGGTAGAGAGCCCCCATAACCACATTAGTAGCAACTCTAATGTGCACAATAGGTTTTGTAATTATGGTGTAGCACTTTTCTGTAGGGACATGCAAAGGAAGTAGACAAAAAATGTACATGTACGGAACCTTCCACACATATCTTATATTTCCTCAGGCTATAATAGTCAATACAGACCTCATCAAAGGTGAGATTTAAAAAGACTTGTAGGGGCTCCAACCTAGCATAGTTGTCATAAAGCTCCCTCTCACATAGGAGCACCTCCTCCACCCTGTCCAGTCTTCTTCATGTCACTGAGGAAGCAAATAACCAACACAAATGAATTCGTTAAGGGGTAAAGATCAAAGAAAGACATAAAGCTTCAGTGGTCCTCAATTTCTTTATGAATACTTGACTCAAATCTACAACTAAAGGGTGCAAAGGAAGTTATGTATGATGGCCTGGGAACGGTGGATTTTCTGATCAGGCTGATGGATTCTTACTATCACTTGCCCAATGGATAGGCAGTTTTTTTCAAGATTCATTTAACTCACAAAATTTTTGGCCAGTAAAAATGACTCAAGGGCTAGTATATGCTAGTCACAGCTTGCCCTTCAGGGTGAACAGTAATGCTTACTCTCTTTCCAATCTGAACTACCCAAAAAGAACAAAGCCTGGGAAGCCATTGTAAAACCTGTGTTGAGGAAATCCTGTCTGTTTAGGGCTTTCACCCTACTATTTATGTGTTTCCTTAGAAATGCAACATGTACTGTTAGTCTAGGTTTTAGCAAGTAAGTTGCATCTAAGTAACTATAATTTGATAATTTTTTTTAACACATTTGGTTCCATTTTTGTGGAAATCATGTCACAATCACATGTCAGGATGTTTAGTTTGATGTGATGTTTCAGTTAGGGATGTTTTAACAAGTTCTTGGTATCAGACCATGAGTATCATAGTTTTAATGAATCATTCATGACCCAGAATATGTTAGAGGATTAAATTTAACCAGCTGCAGCCTCAAGATGTATACACCCACTTACCTTCATGCATGAATTGCTGCAGTTGGCTATAATCTCTCATGATAATAAACATAAATATTGTTAAGGTGTGTGCTGGATATCACTAATTAAAGAACTGCCATTCAAATCAACTGTGCATGTATTTCTTCAGTACCGTTGTTTGTTTTGTCCCATGTAGTGTATAGAAAGAAAAAATTACTTACCTCCAATTTTTGAAGTGGATGATGTGGTGGATTGGGCCAATGAAAGGGTCTGGTTTGATTGGGCTGATAGAAGGTTGATGTTAGGTTGGGCCAGTGGAGAGTGGGGTTGGGGTTTAGGGTTAGGGTTGAGCTAGTGGAGGAGCAAAGCTGGGTTGGGATGATTGAGGAGTGGGGTTAGGTTGGGCAAATGGCAGGGTGGGGTTAGGTTGGGCTAGTGGAGGATTGGGGTTAGGATGGGCCAGTAGAATGGTGGGGTTAGGTTGGGCTAGTGGAGGGTTGGAGTTAGTTTGGGCTGGTGGAAGAGTGGGGTTAAATTGGGCAAGTGGAGGAGCAGGGTTCATTAGGGCTAGTGGAGGATTAGGGTTAAGTTGGGCAAGTGGAATGGCGGGATTACGTTGGGTTAATGGAGGAGTGTGGTTAGTTTGGGCAAGTGGAATGGGGGAATTAGGTTGGGTTAGTGGAGGAGTGGGGTTAGTTTGGGCTAGTGGAGGAATAAGATTAGGTTGGGTCGATGAAGGGATTGGAGTTGATACTATGGATGTCGAGATATTTGAGGCTGAAATCAAGAATGAGATTCTCATCACAAGGGGTCAATCACATATTGCTACTAGGGGATATTTTTCTTAATATAATTGTGAATTTCTGTCTGATAGCCTCATCACAAGGGGTCAATCACATATTGCTACTAGGGGATATTTTTCTTAATATAATTGTGAATTTCTGTCTGATAGCCTTCAATGTGGTCGTTGATTGCTTCAATAGTTTACATAAATAGAAACATATTTCCTTTGAAAGTTTTAATTTTTTTGATGGTGAGAGAGTAAGAACAGTGCACAAATGCAACTTGCTAAAAATTCATAGCAGCAAGAAAACATCTGCACTGGTTTGCCTTGGGGCTTTTGTCTATTGGTAACCAGTAAAGTATTTTGAGATTTGGGATATAAAGTGTAGATGGGCTTCAAACTCCACAATTGGCCAATTCTGAGGACATATGTTAACAGTAAGGAACTATTACATGTGATGAAAAAAAAATTTTGGAAATGGGGGAGAGACAACTTCCATGGCATGAAGTGGAGGACACGAGACCAAAAAGTTTCAGTGGAATGAAGAGGGCTGAGAAAGAAAGACATTATGCTAATCATTTTATGTAATGAAAAGCTAAGTCACTAACCTGGATTTGTAAGCCACAGGAAAATGTTCTTTTTCCTTGATCCTCCAAATAATTCCATCAGCTTTACACCATCTCGGTGGGCAGTTGCAACCTTTGACATGGCATGCCCTCAAAAGTATGATGCAAATAACTCTAACCTAGTGTAAGGAAATATTAGGGATTGGTATCACCATATCATAATAATTCATTATATTGTAATTTTGAATATTTGTCCCTCACTTTACTAGAAATTTTCTTAAACATTGCACTTGCAGAAATTACACATAGGTAGCATTTGCCCGAGAAAGGTAAAGACATTAGAACATACTGTCATCATAGGGGCCAATATTCTTTAGCCCTTTAACTCCTAGATCTAAATCTGTAATTCTCCTTACTGTCAATCATACAATTCTCGTAATATTAGTTCAGAGAACTAAGTATTGGATCAACTACCGGCCGATAAACCGCGGGTAATCTATAAATTTTTCCACAAACTGTTGTTGGTGCGGGTTATAGGAAGGTGCGGGTAATACAATAATTTTTAAAGCTTCCAGTGTAGTTAAAAACGATAAACAGGAAAAAAAGAACAGGTGATAAGATACACTACAGACACTCTTCAAAAAGCTTGTGCAATAACTCATTTATTTTGCGCAGATTGCTCATTATAATAAGTATAGATAACAGATACTCTTCAAAAAACTTGTGCAATAACTCATTTATTTTGCGCAGATTGCTCATTATAATAAGAGACTTTATCGCTCTCGATGAAAGCCGATGCAAATCGAAAACATATAAAACTCGATAACATAGCTTTTATCTTGTTCGTTCTCTTACTTTCTTACCTTGTCAGTTTCACAGCTTGTTTCTTTGTTTAGTTCAAATAAACAATTCTCACTTACACGGAAAGTGAACTTGAAAATAAAAGAATTCAACTATTGTGAAAAGACTGGCTTCAGGGCAAATCACACGGAAAATGATGCCCATATGTTCATTTCGTGGCGCCGCATAATTAATTAGCGCGAATATTCGACGTATCATAGAAATTTTCTTAGCTAGCACTACCTTGAGGTAAAGATTATTTTCCCGTTTCAAGCGATTTCTCCGACTCAGTAAATCGCGTGATGTCAATTTTTTTAGAACAGATTTTTACAATTGGTATCATTCTCAATGAAACAGCGAAGACAAAAAGTGTGAAAATTTATTAACTGCACGCTAAAGGATGTCACGTCAACAAAAACAATGAAGGAACTTTGTGTGAGTCAACGATTTTCCTTTTTTTGGGTGCGGGTTATCTGCCAGTGCGGGTAATCTGTTGAAATTTTTTCTCTCGTTATTACAAAAATTGACCAATGTGGGTAATCTGCTGCGCGGGTAATTGGACGGAAATTACGGTAATTATCCCCAAATTTATATTTTACTTTATTCATATCTCTTGTCTGGTTGATATTGTATTGATATTGTAAGGAGAAATTGTCTTGGTCACTCATAGGAGTTTAAGGGTAAAAGACCAGTGTGAAATGTACATTTTATCTGAGAGGGTAACAAATATGTGGATAATTTTGTTTTTTTCCTCCTGGAAAAAGTTTGGTTTTCACTCTTCCAAACTCTTCATCAAAGGTTATGATAACAATATTAAAAAGCAATTTAAGAATGACTGGTTATTTCCATTGATTATGCAAGTATTGAAATGGCTGAGTAAGCGCGTTTTCTAGCAGAGTACATCCGGCGTTCTAAGGTATCAGAAAAGGAAAATTAGCGCATTAGCGAAAATAGCAAACAAACTATTCGAGCTATCCCTTTAAAGGTCTACATTTTCGCGGAGTCTAATAAGGACTGATGTGGGTTATTCAATTTACTTTTAAAATTTTGATCGTTGAGCAGAAAAGGAGCTTTCCTTTTTAAACGCCTGGACGGTTGACAAGATTAGTTTCTGAGATGTTCCTTTTTCATTGGGAACGTGGTCTTCGGATACTGAACTCAAAAAGGGTTTCTGCCATTTGTGCGTTAACGCTCCGAACCAGAGCTTTTGAGCAAAGTGTTAAGGAACCTTTTCTTTTTGGATATTATCTCCAAATTTCGCGAAAAGACCGAAAGTCAGCCAAGACTGAAATCTTTAACGTTTAAAACGCAAGCCAAAAAGTGATTATGCGAGAAAAAGCGACTTGACGTATCATCAATCCCGCAAGTGCCTTCTACTCTCAAATTGTTTTCTGCTTTGTGTCTACCGAAGTAAATGAGGCACCAAAATGTAACTTTCAGTGGTTAACAGATTTTTAGTTTTGTTTTATTTTGTTTTTTTTCTCATAACTAAACATGAAATTTGCGAGGGATTGAAAACAAAGAGATTTCCTTCCGTGATACCTTATCAGATTTATAAAGTAGGTCAAAATGACGTTTTGGGACTAAATGTGATGTGGGTTTACCACCGCGTCGATTGCTAAAGCGTACAAGACACCCGCTGGGCTGGGTGGTGGACGGCATTCCTTCGACGTTTTCGCATCGGAACTTTCAGACGAAATGGTAAAGTATTCTCCAGAGTTAAAAAGTATTTGCCGGGCTCGCAGCGTTGAATGTCTAGTATAGGTTTAAGTGTAGTTTTAACTTCCCGCCCTATGTTGCTCTCTGGTTTTTGCGCCAGCGACGCGAACAATGTCCAGTCTAAGGTCAATTGAACCGTAGAACTAGAAGTGTCATTAGCAATTAGATGGCAAGGTAGAGTCCAATTCCACTTGAACAATTTAAATCAACTTAATCCAATTTTTTGTCGTATGGAAAATGTTAGACAATTATCAGTAAGCATCATCAACTCAATAGAAACTTCATATAGCGACTTAGTTTGAAGTAACTTACACCTTAAAGCGAAATGATTCAGAAGAAGCGAGTGACAAGAGAAACAAGACTCACCCACTGAGGTCTTCTCCTTTTGTAAAGGTAATGTCCATCACCCGCCTGGCGTTTATAGGCCGACTCATTTCTGCGTTACCAGGAACAGCAGCCCTCTTCCTTTCCAATAACACCGCGGTCCCCTGAAAAGCACATTTGCTGTAGCTCATAATGTAATTTTATAGTGTGTAAAGCCTGCAGCAGCACACGCTTACTGAATCGTTGAAAGAACCCCACCGAACATGAAAACTGAAGCCCTCTATTGTTCGGTTGATCAATAACTAACTAGGTAACTATTCATCAACAATTTTCTCGCCTTTACGTTTACATAAATCAACAACGAAACTGTGAAATAAATCAAATCTTGGCGCAGCGGATTTCAATCATGGAAAAGGCGGAAAGAAGACAACCCTAAAACAAAAACACTCGCTTAAATTACCCAGCGTAAATCTGTCACTAATATGTAAGTTGAGACGACGCGCGATCTCATCAAAATTGGACAATTCAAAATAATTGATAACATACAGATATAATATAGACTGACCAATCCGTAGTTTTTAAGTCCATTTTGGTCAATGTAAAAAAGAAAGAACACATTTAAGCGTCCTAGCAGTCGTTAATTCTTGATCCCAAACGATCGCACTTCGCGCACGAAAACAAACTCCACCACATCCTCCCAGTGAACGCTAGCTACGCCACTGGGTTAAGGAGTGTCACAACAACAACTCCAGAGGCGTGAAAGGGCGTCAATACGCATTAATGTGAAATATGTTTTACCAACCCAGAACAAAGCTGGGGCGGTTTGTCTAAGTAGTAGTGTTTTATCAGAATTCTTTCAACAAGAATATAACATGTCTTTACGTCAGTATACGGCCTTAGAGCAAGGTCCTGTAACGAATGTAATCCACTGGCTTCAGAACAGGAATCTTCCCGCCAATCCACTTCGCTGCGCACAGTGTAATGACGCAATGGATGTGAAAGAAAGAAACGATGGCCACGTGGACGGTTTTCACCGGTGAGCCAACAAAACTTCACTTAAAATACACTATTTAGAACAAAACGGATTGAAGAAGTAACTTTATTAGCAGAAGCAACATCGGAATAGGCGGTCGTTTCGGGGTAAAATTAAAAGTATTGCGGCACCAATGACCAAACATCTCGAAACAAGTAAAAATTCGCGGATTCAGTAATATATGTTTACGCTTACTGGTGGTGACTTTCTTATCGTGCGCGTGGAAGAGTGTTTCAATTTTTCATTTGCAGTCTCCTCTCCTAGAGACTGCACATTTTTTCCACTGATCAAGTTATTGAGTTTATAGCACGCGGGGTTGAAATAAATTTACTGGCATTTTCACACAAAGAAAGCCACGGGGGGGGGGGGGGGGAATGAAAGGTCACGCTCTCACAATTAGCTAGAAAGAACCAACTCATTTTTCGTTCCTCGGGTCTGCTAAACTTTTCCAGAGCGGACGTTCTCCTTTTTCCGTTTTTCGTTCAGGAACGTGGCGCACAAAAGAGAAGGAACAATTTTTTTTATCCAAAAGCTAATAGGTCCTCCTGGTAAGTAAAGCTCATTTCAAACAAACTGTGCCCCCCCTGATGAATACCGTTCAAGCAGTAAACTCGCATTTCTAAAAGAACGTTTCCTTCTTTCTGTCTTTCTTTCTTTGCAAAAACTATTTCCAAATTTTTTTTTCGGTCAAGTCAAAGTTGGAGCAAATAATTAAATCACGGTTTAATAGTTCAATTCTGATGTGGTTGAATAAAACTATGGCTCTAGGTTCCTCTAGCCGAAATCAATGGAACAAAACATGTTCATAATTCCCTCGCAAAGTGTCTTCATGATTTTTCTTTTTTCTTGTTTTGGATAGGCGCAAAATTGTTTGAGACCATCTCACTACAAAGAAAAGATACCTTATGACAAAATGAACTAAAAAATAAAGTTATTACATGTGCTAATTGGATTGATAAACAAAGGCAAAATCCAAAATGGACTAAAAAGCTGCGAATTGATTGGTCGTGCTTTTTTTTTTTTTTTTTTTTAATTACGCCTGTAAGTGGCGTGCAAGTCATTCGGATCATTAGAACCATTTAAAACTTTTCAAAGTTGTAAGAAACTCTTTCTTTTCTAAATCGCACAGGCGCTGCAGTGGATGCAGAAAGACAAGAAGTCTGCGGTCCAACAGCTTCTTTGAGGAGTTCCCAAGAGTGCCTTTTGGTAAATTACTACTCACAATC